AGCCTCGAATTAGTAACAAAAAAAAGGCTACGTCTCGGATCCCAACCTGCGACCTAGAGATTATGAGTCTCATACACTAACCACTCAGCCGAAAACGCTCGATAGGTTACAAATACTAGCCATAAATAAAGCAGAGAAGAGATGCTATGGAATTTCCACTGCTACAGTCAAAATTCCAAATAAGTGAGCACTTTTAATGAACTCTTTTATTTGCGAGATAGGTTAGAAAAAAGAAGGTTCGTAATAATACACTTTTCTCCCTGGAGTAGCCGGAAAAGTTATAAGCTATATTGACGCATTTTTCACGTCGCGGCAAATTCTTTAAGAATGGCATAACCTGGCTAAAAGACAGATTTAAAGTGTCAAGAACATACGAACACCGAACTTATTCAACGTTTTCAACTTTCGAATTTCAAAAAAAAATTCAAACTACAAGTTTCGTACAAACATTTTTCATTTGCAAAAAAAAACATCCACCTGACAGTTGGAACAGAGTAAAGAACGCAAGGAAACAGAAAACATACCCAATCGAAGATTGGGAAAGAGTGAACATAAAAAAACACTTTGTTGAAAAAATCTCATCTTTCGAATTTCAAAGGAAAATAGATACCCTTTAAGCTCTTTGTAATTCTAGAACAATTTATGATTGGCGCTTTTTTGATAACATTATTCCAACTTGAGAAAACTGGATCAACAGGTAAAGTTTTTATTCCGCTGGAAATCTAAAAATAAAATTCCACTTTCGAAACTAGAAGTAGTTTACGTTTTTTGCGCTATAACCACGTTCGTATTTGGAGAGTGCTATTTACGTCACTTTCAGCCGATGAATTTCGATTGAACTCAAAATATACCTGAGTGCATCAACATTTTAAGTCTTTTTCCTGAAAAACAAATCAGCAAGACTTATATAAGAGTCTTCACTACTATGTTCATTACTCTAAAAAACTGAAATGTTTTTTGTTAAAAACTTACAAATTTTAAAGAAAAAATATATATCACCTTAAAACTCTTTGCATTTTAAGAACAGTTTATGATTGAAGCTTTATTTGATAAAATTAACCCAAATTGAGAAATCTAAATTAAATTTCACTTTCGATACTGGAAGTCGTTCACGCTTTTTCGCAGATGAAAAAGTAATGAAATCAAAAAAGCTAATAATATATATCTCCTCCAACTCCTCCTACGATCAGAACATCTCCAGCTCCGCAATGGGCCATCGCACGCTCTAAGCACAACTCAGCAATCTAACAAACTAACAAGTTACCCTTTAAACTGGTAGGGCGACAATTCGTTACAAGCGACAATTCGTAACAAGGCATTGGAAAGCAGAATACGCTTGCTCTGCTTCGCTCCGCTGCGCTTACATCCGGCACGAGAGGAATACTGCGTGTGAATCAGTGTTCCCCGCTTAATCTACTGTTACAAATTGTCGCCTCACGTTTTAACTAAAGATACGAAAAGCCTTCGTGCGAACAAAACTATTCTTACCACCTCAAAGCCGGTTTCAGGTGGAGGATGTACACTTGGTTCTGTTTCGCAATTTTAATCAACTAGTTAACCAGCCAGAGGCCTAACCTAGAGGATAATTAATTAAGATTAACTAAGCTATGGCTATTCTACAAGAGCTCACCTTACAAAAAACAGCCCACGTGCAATTTGAACCCTCAATCATATGATTGCTGGGCACCATCGCTACCCATTCGCCAAAAATTTTGTGGCGTTATGACGCGAAGGTAGTGATGGTTTCCAGCAACATGATTGCGGGTTCAAATCGCACGCGCGCTGCAAATAATAAGGTGAGCTCTCGTAAGATAACCATAAATTTGACCAGATTTGCAACAAAAAAAACATAGCCAACTGACAGTTGGAAAAGAGTAATGAACGCAATGAAACTGAAACAAAACCTGACTTTTGAATTTCGAAAAAAATAGATGGAATTAAAACTCTTTGAATTTGTAGAACAATTTATGATAGACGCTTATTTGTTAAAACTAACCCATTTGAAAAAATTGCATCAATAGGCGAAACTTTTATTTCACTGGGATATCTGATAATTAATTTCCTTTTTCGAAATTAGAAGTCGATCACATTATTCGTGACCTTTAGATTCATGCTATTCGATAGTGGATTTTGCTTTCCCTTAAACATTGTTAATGCACTGAACCTAACAAGAAATCAAAGTCAAACCGCGAAAATTCCAAATTGAGCGTTAACAACTTTCAGACTTTTTCCTGAAAAAAAAACAAAAAAAAATCAGCAAAACCTACATAATATTCCTCACTACGTTCATTACTTAGGCACTTTTGGAAAGTTGTGAGTAGTATTTATCAAAACTCGAATTTTTTGGCGCCTTCAGAACAATTTACTGGCCAATGAACAAAAACGGGTGACATAAAATAGTATCAAGAATGTAGTCAGGGGGTCGAACTCCTGAGGTGGAGTTGGGGGGATAGGGAGGTTGGCTTTTGCCTCTTCCTCCTTATGTCGATAGTGCCACAAGAGTAGCCTTTCAGCGTAGCCTAAACATCTTTTTTCCAAAATTTAGCCTGTTTCATTAGTTAGTAATCCTAAATTTTAACACAGGCAAAGCTTTGCTTCGCAAACACTAGCGAGAACTGGGAAAAAAAGCAGCTCATTAAAGCAATAAGAAAAATTAGAAATAAGCCTCGAATTAGTAACAAAAAAAGGCTACGTCTCGGATCCCAACCTGCGACCTAGAGATTATGAGTCTCATACACTAACCACTCAGCCGAAAACGCTCGATAGGTTACAAATACTAGCCATAAATAAAGCAGAGAAGAGATGCTATGGAATTTTCACTGCTACAGTCAAAATTCCAAATAAGTGAGCACTTTTAATGAACTCTTTTATTTGCGAGATAGGTTAGAAAAAAGAAGGTTCGTAATAATACACTTTTCTCTCTGGAGTAGCCGGAAAAGTTATAGGCTATATTGACGCATTTTTCACGTCGCGGCAAATTCTTTAAGAATGGCATAATCTGGCTTAAAGACAGATTTAAAGTGTCAAGAACATACGAACGCCGAACTTATTCAACGTTTTCAACTTTCGAATTTCAAAAAAAAATTCAAACTACAAGTTTCGTACAAACATTTTTCATTTGCAAAAAAAAAACATCCACCTGACAGTTGGAACAGAGTAAAGAACGCAAGGAAACAGAAAACATAGCCAATCGAAGATTGGGAAAGAGTGAACATAAAAAAAACACTTTAATGAAAAAATCTCATCTTTCGAATTTCAAAGGAAAATAGATACCCTTTAAGCTCTTTGTAATTCTAGAACAATTTATGATTGGCGCTTTTTTGATAACATTATTCCAATTTGAGAAAACTGGATCAACAGGTAAAGTTTTTATTCCGCTGGAAATCTAAAAATAAAATTCCACTTTCGAAACTAGAAGTAGTTTACGTTTTTTGCTCTATAACCACGTTCGTATTTGGAGAGTGCTATTTACGTCACTTTCAGCCGATGAATTTCGATTGAACTCAAAATATACCTGAGTGCATCAACATTTTAAGTCTTTTTCCTGAAAAACAAATCAGCAAGACTTATATAAGAGTCTTCACTACTATGTTCATTACTCTAAAAAACTGAAATGTTTTTTGTTAAAAACTTACAAATTTTAAAGAAAAAATATATATCACCTTCAAACTCTTTGCATTTTAAGAACAGTTTATGATTGAAGCTTTATTTGATAAAATTAACCCAAATTGAGAAATCTAAATTAAATTTCACTTTCGATACTGGAAGTCGTTCACGCTTTTTCGCAGATGAAAAAGTAATAAAATCAAAAAAGCTAATAATATATATATATATATACATATATATACATATATATATACATATATATACATATATATACATATATATACATATATATACATATATATACATAAATATACATATATATACATATATATACAAAGGCATTAATATGTATGAATGCACATCTGTAGTTATTGGAGCATTTTAAAACTTTTCCTGGAAAACAAAAAAAATCACCAAGACCTATATAAGAGTCTTCACTACGCTCATAACTCTTAACAATTCTGGACTGGAATTGAAATCGGGACATTTGTCGTCCCATGCATGTAGGTTATCTCTATGCTAAAACAACAACGGACATAGCTGACCCATACATGTGGGTTATCTCTATGCTAAAATAGCTAAACCTACAGCGGATCTTGATATGCTGAAAAAGCAAGTAAATTGCCAAAAACTGTGTATAACAGGTAAGAATTCTAGTACCCGGTTGCAAAGCCAGTGCTTATCGCAAGGCAAATCAAAACTGTAGCTACAAGTTTTATCACCCTTCTAACAAGAAAAATTTTGTAGTGCCTGTTTCAAGCCCCTTGCTGATAGTAAGGGTATCTGAAGTACCAGGCTGCTGTGCATAGAGCTGGAACAAGACGTACCATAGTTATGTTTGCAGGTAGAGGTGTTTTTTCGACTTGGTATTGCTTATTTGTGCGTACTTTGCGCAGAACCACTTAAAGTCTCCAAAAGCATTAAGAATTACTTTAACCGACTCAATGAACTACTTCTTTGGGAAACACTTCAACTTTTGAATTTTCAAGAATAACAATTATGACCGATATGAAAGAAGAAATATGATCCCGAATACAAAATTCCTCCCTATTTTCTGTGGTCTAAACAATAATACTTTAGTCTCTTATCTAGCTGAAAATGTCATTAAGTATATTTGACAACTCTTAATGACTTTAGTACCCGGACGACTTCTTTTGACACAGAGAAAACTATTTCGCAATTTTTATTAGGTCTGTTAACAGCTGAAGTATACAACTTTGTATGAGCTGTCTTTTCGGTACCTGACTCAGAATTAAAAAAAAAATACACCCGAATACAACGTAAATTCCCTCTACGTGGTTGGGAGAAGAAAGGTTTCAGAAGTCTAATTTCAGGTTAGAAGACATTTGCTTTAGCAGAGTAATATGTCAATTTGAAATCCAACCCAACCTTACCTGTTACTTCGATGAGCATAGCAAACACTGTTTCCTGAAGAGAGAAGCACAAATCCGACTTCGAATATTTTCCACTTTTCAGCCAGTTGTTGGCCCTGTCTTCAATGAAACTCAGCAGACCTAAAAATAGGTGGATATATTAAACACATCACAAACAACAGAATAGCAAGGAGCTCAACGACATGCCAGAACAAATGATGTTTTAAAACAATCAAAAGAAGCATGACACAATTGGACACATGAAACCACAAGAATAAAATATTCAAAGCAATGCCTTTATAACCATTAATAGAAAATCGTACTCAACAGCACTACGTCGACTTCGTTCTTATCGTGCTTTGGCTGCTTCTTTATGTTGTCATAATTCAAACACTATTACCTGAAAATGACACATCCATGCCCTTCACAATGTAAGGCAACTCCAACAACTGCTTGCCTTGTTTCGCCATCTGCTCAATGTTGTAGCCTGGACTGGGATCATTAGACAGTTTCAGCACTCGGGCAAATCTGTCCAGGCAGTTACCAACAGCTATATCAATTGTCTCTCCGAATATCTGGTATCTATTCTGCGAATACGCTATCACTTGAGTATTTCCGCCACTTACGTAGAGAATAACCGGCTTGTTTGCTCCTAAAAATTAATTTCTGAGGGGAAAATAGCAACCAACCAAATTGATTTTTCAGAGATCTAGCAACCACAAAAAATTAATATTATCGAAAATTGATGTCAAGCCTTTTTGAAATCTTCGTTGAGTGAAGTTCGGAGTTTTGTCCGCTTTTCGAGTTTTTTTTAAGTTGCAGATGGTTCTAGAGCCGAGTTTTTAGAAGTATTGTTTATTTGGATCGGTTAGATCTCCTTAGAATCGGTTGGATCGGTTGGATCTCCTTAGAAGTATTGTTTATTTGGATCGGTTAAAATTTGGAAGTCAAACACCAATACGTTTTCTCATCCTGCAAGGACAAACTGATACCTGTGATGAGACGGCCCATTTCTATGTGACCCACACAATGGTTCACACCTATGATCGGTATATTGAAGATCTGTGCCAATGTCCTAGCCACAACGGCAACAGTAACTAGAGGTCCCCCCATGCCTGGTCCTTTGGTGTACGCAATTGCGTCTATCTTATCAAACGACAACTCGGCTTTCTGCAAAGCCTCTTCCAATATAGGCATTATCCATTGCTGGTGGTGTCTCGCCGTTTCTCTCGGAATGAATCCTTCTCCCGGTGGTGTAATGTATGTGTGTCGAGGATTCGATAACACTTCTCCGTCTCTGATGATTCCGATACCAATTTTGTTTGCACTGCCTTCAAATCCGATAATAGTGGGCATCGTCGCGCCAATAGAAAACGTTTCAGCAAATAATTTCAAATCAACGGCAAAAGAATCTGAGATCAAACTAGATAAATGGTCAAGGCAGTTGTAATATCAAGTTACAGTTCACAGCAGATATTTGTCTGAAAAAACACCACTTTTTCGCACATAATAAACTGATTTTGTTCATTCTCAACAGCACACTAGTATTGACGTAACTTAGCCAGGCCTAGTTGTAATTAAGCAACGAAGGTGCAACTAGATGTATCTTAATGTGGTTGTATCCATTCGCTTAGCCAGAATAAAAATCAGGAGTCCCCGAAAGCATTGAATTAAGCAAAGACACCAGTCGAGTTATGCAGTCGTATTTGATGAGAAGAAAAATTTTTAATTCCACGCCAGCTTAACTGACTAGCAGATTTTGCAGTAAAAATTTTAATTAAAATAGGAATGTATTCAGATAGAGCACCAGCTAATCTAGGCGAAATAATCTAAAACTAAGTTAAATATTCAGACAAAATTTGTGTGAAAAAAGACAATGCTCTCAACAGAAGATTCCAATAGCACATTAAACATCATACTTATAGCTTTGGCAAATCCGAATTAATGCACAATATTCATATTTCATGATCACAGGATCCATAAGCCATATCAAGTACCATTTCACTATCTAAGCTTTCTACGTTTAACGCGTTCAACGTGTCCATAGCGGTAGCAACCTTCACCAAAATAGCAGCTTTGCATAATATTTTAATGCGACTTTGCACTGAAGTTTCGCAAAACTGAAAATCATTAATTAGAAACAAATCTTAATCATTATCGACACCACAGCACTTCTGATGTTTCGAAACATATTTGATCAAATATTATCACTTAACAACCAGCAGCAAATTGCTCAAAATCAGTTCACAGTCGGAAATTAAACAAATTGAGATCCAAAGGTAAAAGAACTCAGTTCAGCATAAAAAACCAGAATTTACAACTTGAAGAAAGTGACGAATGAAAAAATGAGTCTACGCCTGTATCTAATTATTAGGAGAAAGTTCCATTCTTGTAGCACATGGCACACACACGCACCGGATAGTCCCATCCCCTGATGGGAACTGGCACCCGGTGGGGGGAGCAGGGATCGCACACACCGTTGCCACAACATCTGCAGTGGTGGAATCGGAACTTGGCAGGGTCGAAGGGCTGATCGCAACAGTTACACTTCTTCAGTTTGAAATCCTCCACCCAATAAGCTGGTCTAGTGTAGTCCAATACAGTCGCTACAAGCAATACGTTTTCAAAGTACGTTAAGACGCAAAGGCGAATCGGAGCTTCACGCATCTCGTGCTAACGAAAAAAATCCAAGAAGATTATTGAAAAGACTTTGTAAAAAAACATGCATTTAGATTAACTCAAAGTCGATCAAAAATTGCAAAACCTACACGCCGAATATAATAAAAACCAGATCAAATTAACATCCTCACTTCAAATAGACTAAGTTAAGATCCTCCACTCCAGCGTTCAATTTAAATTAAACTAGCGTTTAACGCACCTCCAGTGCTTCGAAATTTTTCGACAACTCATGAAAAACCGCATATATTGGACACAACATCTGCAAACTTTTAGTGTACTCTGACTGCACCCAATTACAGGGTTGGTAATTTCAAACTTTTTAAATTTTTTTTAAATTCCCATTTTATAAAAGCGTCAGCTCGAAAATTTAATGGGCCTCTGCAGAAATTTAGAGGCTAGATTTGCAACCACTGAGAGTCCCTGAGAGCACCCTACTTTAGGGTTAGGAATTCAAAACTTTGTGAATTGTTATAAACCTAAGTTTCCCAAAAAAATTTTTTAAAAAAAACGTCTTATCTCGGAAACTAAAAGGATTTGAGCATTCATATTGAGAGGCAAGATTTGAGACGCCAGGGTGTATGCCGACACTAAGGTTGTATCTTCGAGTTGGTAGTTTCAAATTTTTTGAATTTCTTTGTAGATAAGTTCTTTGAGAAATTTTCAAAAAATCAAAAAACGTCACATCGCGGAAACTAAATGCATTTGAGCAGTCGCGTTTGGCAGTCGCATGTGGCAAGATTTGCAACTCTTTAGAGTACCCTGACAACAACGAACTATAGCGTTGGGAATTTCAAATTTTGAAAAATAATTAATTTAAACTTTCTGAAAATTTTGAAAAAATCACAATAAACCTCACATCTCGAAAGTTACAAGGAATTGAGCAGTCATAATCGGAGGGAAGATTCGCAATCCTCGAGAGTACTCTGACAGGACTTAACTCAGGGTTGCGAAATTCAAATTTTAAAAAAATAATAATTTAAGTTTTCTGAAAATTTCTCAAAAAATCACAAAAAACGTCTTATCTCGCAAACTACAACGATTTGAACAGTCGTATTTGGAGGCAAGATTTGTAACTTTTTAGAGTACTCTGACTGCAAACAACTACAAGGTTGGGAATTTTAAATTTTTAGAAATATTTAATTAAAATTTTCTGAAAATTTTTGAAAAAGTCACAAAAAACATCATATACAAAAACTACAAGGATTTGAGCAGTCATTTTTGGAGGCAAGATTCGCAATCCCTGATAGTACTCTGACAGTACCCAACTACAGGATTGGGATTTTCAGATTTTAAAAAAATAATCATAATATTAGTTTTGAAAAATTTTGAAAAAATCACAAAAAACGTCATGACTCGAAAACTACAAAGAATTGAGCAGTCATACTTGGAGGCAAGATTCGCAATGTTTGAGAGTACTCTGACAGGATCTAATTAGAGGGTTAGGAATTTCAGATTTTTAAAAAATAATAATAATTTAAGTTTTCTGAAAATTTTGAAAAAAATCACAAAAAACGTCATATCTCAAAAACTGCAAAGAATTGAGCAGTCATACTTGGAGGCAAGAATCGCAATCTTTGAGAGTACTCTGACAGGACCTAACTACAGGGTTGGGAATTTCAGATTTTTAAAAAACTAATAAGAATTTAAGTTTTCTGAAAATTTTTGAAAAAATCACAAAAAACGTCTTATCTCGAAAACTACAAGGATTTGAGCAGTCATTTTTGGAGGCAAGATTTGCAATCCCTGATAGTACTCTGACAGTACCCAACTACAGGATTGGGATTTTCAGATTTTTTAAAAATTATCATAATATTAGTTTTCTGAAAATTTTTGAAAAAATCACAAAAAACGTCATATCTCGAAAACTACAAAGAATTGAGCAATTATACTTGGAGGCAAGATTCGCAATCTTTGAGAGTACTCTGACAGGACCTAACTATAGGGTTCGGAATTTCAGATTTTTAAAAAACTAAGAATTTAAGTTTTCTGAAAATTAATGAAAAAATCACAAAAAAAACGTCATATCTTGAAACTACAAAGAATTGAGCAGTTATATTTGGAGGCAAGATTCGCAATCTTTGCGAGTACTCTGACAGGACCTAACTATAGGGTTGGGAATATCAGATTTTTAAAAAACTAATAATAATTCAAGTTTTCTGAAAAATTTTGAAAAAATAGCAAAAAACGTCATATCTCGAAAACTACAAAGAATTGAGCAGTGATATTTGAAGGCAAGATTCGCAGCCTTTGAGAGTACTCCGACAGGACCTAACTACAGGGTTGGCAATTTCAGATTTTAAAAAAATAATAATTTAAGTTTTCTGAAAATTTTGAAAAAAATCACAAAAAACGTCATATCTCGAAAACTACAAAGAATTGAGCAGTCATACTTGGAGGCAAGATTCGCAATCTTTGAGGGTACTCTGACAGGACCATACTATAGGGTTGGGAATTTCAGATTTTTAGAACACTAAGAATTTAAGTTTTCTGAAAATTTTTGAAAAAATCACAAAAAACGTCATATCTCGAAAACTACAAGGATTTGAACAGTCATATTTGGAGGCAAGGTTTGTAATCCCTTAGAGTACTCTGACAGTACCCAACTACAGGGTTGGGAACTTCAAGTTTTGTAAATTATTTTATTTGAAATTTCTGAAAATTTTTAAAAAATCTCAAAATTGTCTTATCTCGTTAACTAAAATGATTCGGGCATTCAAAATTGGAGGCCAAATTCGGAACCCCTAATTCGATATTGGGATGCTTAATTTAAACTCGGTAAAAAAACCATTAAAATCAAATTGGCAAATCGAAAAAAAAATTCTTAACCATTGCAATATACGATATAGCTTAAACATGCAAAAATAATACGTTGAAAAAGCTTAAACATGGCGAGATAGTGAAGCCCGCATTTAAATATATAATAGATTTGTTAAGCGCTGCGTGTAAAATGAAATGTTCTAATTGGCGGAAAATTCGAACTCAGAACCAAGTTAACATCCTCCCCCTAAACGTAATTGGGGGATGCTAATTTGGTCCTCAAAACCTTTCACATCCTAAAGAGGCCCTCATCTTCATCGCGTTAATCTTGTATAACAAACACAAAATATTTGGACAAAACAAGGATTGCCACAGAGGCGAAGCATTAATAGAACCAGTCAATTTTATTTTAAAAAAATTACCAGCTAATATGCCTCAATTTAAAGAGCAGTCTATGGAGCAGAAATAAAATGAAAAAATTAAATGTAATAAAAATAAAATGATTTTTTTTTTAATTTTGAGATTTTTTTTGTGAAAATCATCTCCCCACACGCTTTACTTGGAAATATACAAAAAAAGCTATCAAATGAGCATTTTTAGTTGCGACTTAAGTTGGAAAACAATTCCTTTGAAGTAGTACACTACATTAGGTTTGAATAAAAATTAACACAGAGGCGAAACTGAGCTTCGCAACATTTGCGATACAAAAAAGAATGCTGGTTACAAACAAATGAAAGAAAAATTTAAAAAATTGAAACTTCAAAAAATCGTTCTTGCTAAAACATATTATTAAAACTGCAACAAAAGGGCAAGAAAAATGCAGAACAAAAGTAGGTTCACTGTTAGAAATTTTACAAGGAGCTTTCAAAATGCTAGAAAGAAGCCGAAATTTTAAGAAAGTCCTTTCTGCGGAACTAAACCGACAAAAATAGGCAGACAGACCATAATCTGAACTAGCCGAAAATTTTCAGTTTGCAAAAAACAGATCTCGACTAGAATCAAACTTGGAAGAAAACTGAACCTGAAAACTGAAGAAAAAGATGATAGTTCAAAAAAGCACAAAAAACTCAGTTCCAAAACACAGGTCGCGTTCAGATTCGAGCTGCAATCCTTTTACGTCTCAAGCAGTTCTGTTACCTCTACGTCTTGTGTGCCAGATGGTTGATTGAAGTTGAATTTCTAATTAGCAATCGGTACTTAAACAAAGCCGAAAAACCTGAGCAGAAACTCTTCATACCAAAAAAAAAATCTCAACAACATTTTTTTCCAGACCCCTTTTACGCTAAGAACACAAATTTCCTTTCAGTACTAGGGGCCCAGCTGAAAGCTGGAGAGACCTGTTTGATTATTTTAATATTGATTATTTTAAAATTGTTTTAAAATTTCAGGTTTCTCAAGTCGATAGCGCCCTTCCTACGCAAAAAAAAGTGAAAGAGAAGCTTATGCATCACAAATCTGGATGGGTAGTTTTTGAAGAAATCGAAAAAGTTTGAAAAAATGGCCTAAAAACCGAAATATTGACTATTCCTAAGTGTATAGCTCTTCCCCTAGACAAATTAGGGACGAGCCGTTTGTGTAGGGGGGTTCCTACAACCTGGTCTATCGACTAAACCCTTAATCCCAAATCTGGACGGGTAGTTTTTGAGGAAATCGGAAAGATTTGAAAAAAGGCCAAAAAAGTGACATTTCCTAAGTCTATAGCTCTTTTCTAGGCAAGTTAAGGACCAGCCGCGTGTGCGGGGGAGTTTCCTACAACCTGGTCTATCGATTAAACCCTTAATTCCAAATCTGGATGGGTAGTTTTTGAGGAAATCGATAATTTCCGAAAAAAATAGGCAAAAAAATCAAAAAAGTGACTTTTACTAAGTCTATAGCTCTTCCCCTAAGCAAATTAGGGACCAGCCGCTTGTGCATGGGGGGTTCCTACAACCTGGTCTATCGATTAAACCCTTAATCATAAATCTGGACGGGTAGTTTTTGAGGAAATCGGAAAGATTTGAAAAAAGGCCAAAAAAGTCAAAAAAGTGACTTCTCCTAAGTCTATAGCTCTTCCCCTAGGCAAGTTAAGGACCAGCCGCTTGTGCAGGGGAGTTTCCTACAACCTGGTCTATCGATTAAACCCTTAATTCCAAATCTGGATGGGTAGTTTTTGAGGAAATCGATAATTTCCGAAAAAATAGGCAAAAAAATCAAACAAGTGACTTTTCCTAAGTCTATAGCTCTTCCCCTAAGCAAATTAGGGACCAGCCGCTTGTGCATGGGAGTTTCCTACAACCTGGTCTATCGATTAAACCCTTAATTCCAAATCTGGATGGGTAGTTTTTGAGGAAATCGATAATTTCCGAAAAAATAGGCAAAAAAATCAAAAAAAAGACTTTTCCTAAGTCTATAGCTCTTCCCCTAAGCAAATTAGGGACCAGCCGCTTGTGCATGGGAGTTTCCTACAACCTGGTCTATCGATTAAACCCTTAATCCCAAATCTGGACGGGTAGTTTTTGAGGAAATCGAAAATTTCCGAAAAAAATGGGCAAAAAGTGAAAAAGGTACCGAGTTGTGAAGCTTTTCTAAGACCGTAGGGGGTGGGGTAGGGTAAAAATTGCCCTAAATTGCATGCAGGCAGGTAGGTGAAACGCTACTGAGTCCATTGGTACCACTTTTATGAGAATCTGACGGGTAGTTTTTTGGGAAAGCGAATTTTTCGAAAAAGCGTCTCAAAAAAAAAAAATAAAAAAAAAAAAAACCAGATCTCATCTGGAAGAAAAAACGTTTCCATAATACCTGTTTAATAAATCAACCAGGAATTCAAACGAAACTATGAGAGGCCACCAATTCGATATAAAAAAAAAACCGAAACCCAATGAGCCAAAAAATAAGAAAAAAAATGAATTTCAACAAAACGAGTTGGTAAAACAACAACCAACATAAAAAGCTAATTTTATGCAGGCCGTATATATAAAATGCTAACATGCTCGAATAATGTATAATGCAACAGAAAGGCCCAGTAGATGAACGGGTCCAGGAGAAGGATGAGTATTTTGAACAAAGTTCTTTTCGGGGAAAAAGTATAGTACCCGATTGCAATACCCTTAAAAATATTTTTGTAAAAATACGATCAGCAACATCCCTTCCCAACAAAAAAAAACGGAAAAACCTTCAACCTATTCAATAAAATTTGATGACTATCGAAATCAGCATAGTGTGCGTTGAAGTCGTTGATTCTACCTTTCGGGACTTCAACGGCAGATGATATGGCGGACACCGAGCTGCGCACGACTTCTGTAATGATGCGTGGCTTCAACTTCCTGTAGGCCTCCTCGTCTACTCCCTTGTCTTGGCCAGTGGCTGCAGCGGCTTTAAAGACATAAGACCAATTGTCCACATGTACATGCACTAACATTCAAGCTGTCCTCGCAACGATTACAGGTAAAAGTGTGCCTCGAACTATCTAATTTTCTATGGGATGCGGAGACCTTTGTCATTTCACAATCACTCACCTTGATAGAAAATTAGATGAACCATTTTTCCGAGAAATATTTTCGTATCATGTTGAAGCTTTATCAATTTCAAGTATCTTCAATGATTGCCAATTTGGCTCTGTTTCCTTTGCCCACCTCACATAAGCATAATTTTATGGTGTAACGAGGGGTTATACTAGATGAAGTATATGACCAAATATGTTTGCCATTGCCTAATTAGTCTGCATGCCAATTTTGGTAACAATCAGAAATTGTGATTAGTAAGTTTACCTGTAAAATTTCACAGGTGTGGAAAAAGGAAAAAGAGTCGCCAATTTTTTCATAAAATGGCTTAATTAGAAAAAACTGGGTAATACGTTGTTTTTTTTATTTCCGCTGGGAATTTATTCCACAACCAAATTAGTTCACCCAAAATGTTATCAGCAGCTAATACGCACCTTCATTAGCAGTCGAAGATTTCCTCGAGTTTTGGCACGAAAAGCAAACTCGAACCGGCTCATCTCCCCAGCCTCTCTCTGGAACTGGCATTCGATAGTTGCTGCAAGAGTCGCAGAAACCTTTCCCGCACGCCCTACAGTGATGCTTAGTGAGACTATCAGAATCGCTTCTTCTATGGTGACTCATCAAATTGTTGTTGCTGTTGTTGGCCGATCTTCCGTTGAGATAGTCGTCTTGGAACACTGTCGTATCTTCTCCTGCCCCTTCTATTTCAGCTTGGTATGTGTCTTTGAAAGGCAGTTTACATTGGTGACATTCCTGGAATAGGGTATGACAATTTAACTCAATTGATGTGTACATGCAGTAACAACAGAATTCGCATACTAGCTTGACGCCCTGTATAATAACAGAACCCGTTAAGTAAAATCTTTGATGTTTTACTTAATAGTTGCTTGATACAATATGAAACGTTTTCCATACAACGAAACATTCTAATTACTCATTCAAGTACCCAGCGCAAAAAATTGAATAGGAAAGCAAACTTGGGAAATTGCTAGCCTTTATTTCGGAGTTCGGAACCCAGTACTCAGGCGCGACTTGGTCCGTAGCCCAGTCAGACACGTATCCTATTGGTCTTGCTGTGAGAGACGAAATAGTACCAGCAACATTGCTCAGCCCATCTATGAGTTGTCTGCATGCATTGTGACTACCCTGAAAAATCTGGTTGCCATCTGGCCATACATGAGCTATCTCTACTCGCACACATTCTTCCTCTGGGTTCCTGTTGCCATACCAGTATTTTCTACTGTTGTAGATTACTCCGCATTTGGGACACTCAAGAACGTACCTAAAACATTCATGGAAACTTTGTTATTGGCTTTCTCAATAAATTTTGCCGAGATGGTTTATCCGAAATTCTTTTGATTAGCATCAACATTGTAAGTCACAGAGCTGTGACTGAAACTAAGTTCTTGAAAAACTAAATTGACGTTCCAAAAATATCACTTTGGCTGAATTTAAAACTTTGGCTGAATTTACATATTTCCTACATCTCCTCGATTTGAGAATGCTTTAAGAAGCTATTAGCCGCCCGGAAGATGATCACCATTATTTTTCAAAAAATTTAAGGCGATTGGCAACATTGTTTATTTCTATTTCAGAAATTGCAAGATAATTTTAAATTTAAATCAAAATTTTTTTGGCACTGAGAATAGTATTGTGTAACAAGATTACATCTGGGCAAAAAAGAACTCAACTCACCCCTGCCAGGCGTACTTGGCCAGTCCACTCCACACACTGTCTCCCGACTGAGCTGTCTTCGGAATGACTACCCTGTCTTCTCCGTCCTGCCAGCATCGTTTGCAGATGAACGTCTTGTTCTGGAACTGCTCCTGGTAGTGACACCTCACATCCGAACTGTGCTTCCTGCCACTCTTCACGTGGTTCATGCTATGTCGACACCGACTCCTGGAAACCCAATCTGTTAGATTTTATCGAGATTAAAAGCAAAGAAATTTCAAGTTTTTTCATGAAACCTTTTCTTTAAAAAAAGCGGAAAGATGTGCTTAGCTTCTCAAGAAAATGTGACTCACTTGCAAGCCATGCACTGGACTGAGCACGTGAAGTACTCATCCGGTAGAGTGTTCATTACCATATTGTCCACTGGTCCATTGAACTTCTCGTTCAGCGCCTAAAACAACAATAAGTAATAGCAAGGATAGCCGGTTGCTGAGCAATTAGCACACTAAGTTCCGACCACAAAAAAAAAACGTTTAAAAAGTTTCATTTCTTTCAAATTGTGTCGTTCTTTTTGTTCGTTTAGCAATGAGAGGATCTGAACGGAAGCCAAAATTTTAGGATAGTCGATAGTGAATTAGACAAATTCGAATAAAAATTGTTTCATCGTACTGTTATTATAAAAGTTGTTTCATTATTGCCAGAATCTATTGCAATGTGCCGACTGAATTTCATCGCTATGTGTTCAAAATTAAAACTGACGCGTAACATGGGGTACACTGTTTATAACTGCAAACTTAGGCTGTTGTCACCCACACTCGGTACGACGTATATCTGTTAAAGCTCCTTCACACAGCTCCTTGACTATAAAAACGACCTCTCAAACTTTTATTCATCTATTGAAGACCAAACATAACCTGTTTCTATCTTTGCAAGAAACGCACAATGTTCCCAGTACAAAAATTTGCAAAAAACGTTCTATCACTTCCTCCAGTTTTCTGTTATTGTTTTAAGGTAAAAGTAACCATTGAATTAGTTAACAAGCTGCAAAAGGACGCTCCTAAGATAATGTGCAAATTGCAGGCAAATTAGATTGGGAGAGAATTCGTGTCAATTACCCGACGTAATTTGCACTGAACCTTTTCCTGTGGACTTAGAGACAACTGCTTGAGTTTTGATTGACTCCGAATAACCTCTTATAATTTTTTAATACGATTTTTTAACCTCCTGTGCCCATTTCTTGAGGTACCTCACATGGGTCGAAAAAACCCTAGTCGGAAAAATAAAAATGAATTCACTAGGAGTCATGAAATAACCTGAAGCAGTTGGAACACTATGTGAAGTGGCCTGGTGGACCTGACTGCAGTCTTGCCTATCTCAGTGCACACTTCCTCCCTGAGAGTGGAGAAGTCAGTGATGGGTCTAGTGGAGGGAGTCCTCACTCCCAGGTAGCTGACGGAACTGAAGCCCTCGGCTGACCTGCCAATCTGCGAAAAGCGCTCCTTCAATTGCTCCGTAGTCGTGTAGTCACCTATTGCAAAGTTGAGAAAAGCTACCCCCAATGAGAAAACAACATGAAAAGCATTTCTTGCAAAAATATGAGTTGCCTAACAGCGGCTTCATTCAATTTATGAAGGATCTTCTTCAGCATTGTGATGGATCTACAAAAAGTGAATTTAATCAAAACGAAACATTTTCCGAGAAAAGCACCTAAGAACTCCTATGCCAGCTTCGAAACTTTCTCTTTCATCTGTAAGAAATAAATTCTTTTCAAATCGACTATTATAGTGTTGGTCGGCCTAAAAATGGGTGTTGTAAAATAGAACCATGTGAAGAAGACCCTTTGAGCGGTGATGGGATCGAATCCCCCTAAATCTGTTCCTACACGACTTCTATATTTGATCAATGAATAGTGTGTTCAATCGTCTAACCATCGTCCTTGAGAGGTTCTGTGAATGTCGTCTCGTGAAAGAGGATGAGCGAGGGTCCCAGGTTGGAGATGGACACTCGTCTGTTCTCAGAGATGGTTTTCAACTCGGGCGAGAAGTACTTCAAGTATGCGCCAGAGGCATCTCCCAGAAACTGGAATGTGTCACTGTGTAGACGATCACTCCGAGTGCGGTAGATGATGATATCTTAACAGACACAAGCAATCAATTTTATTCAATTATAAATTAGTGGTCAAAATGGACCCTCAATGCCAAACCATAACTTTACAAACTTTTAATAACTTGAATCATTTTAATAACTTGAATCATTTGTATTCAGTCCAGATAAATCTTCATCATATGTTTACATTTACTAACCAGATATGGCTAAGATTTTAACTAGTAGTCTGGATCGCACATTCTGATTGTTTGTCACTCCCAGAAGACCCTCAGTGTCCAGAATGAGCGCTTTGTTGTCCTGGTCATACGCCGCCCAAACTCCTAAAAATATCAGTGCGAAAATTTCATATTAGCCTACAAATCATTTGCTTGTGGTATTAGGAGAAAAACATCGCTCATGAATGGGAATCCGAAAAGTATGCAAGATAATCAAGTACGCGATTAACTTCTAACAAGAGTTTTATAATAAGACTTACCAACTGTTCCAGTTATTTGAGAACTGCTTGTTTTGAAAACTTCTTTCCCGCCGAAGAAGGTATGGTTTAGAGTGTGACTTTTCCCATCTCCTAAAATCAAAACAATATCGAATTTATGTTAAACTCCCAAACGGATTCAATTTTCTCATTTTATTCAACTTAGCCAACCTGTGTTTCCAAATATGGAGACAACTTTGACAGGATTATTTTCGGTACACTGCAGCTTGTGTGCAAACTCTCTCGCAGAATTGAACTAAAATGATTTTATTTGTTATGTTAAAAATCATTTTAAATTTCAATTCTTCTCATCAATAACAACCCTACCATCAATCGCTCTTCAGAGTCAATCAGAGGGACACTTGAGTTTTCATCTTGTATCGAAATTGAGTCAAACTCGGGCGGCGAACAGTTTCCCTCCCGTCTTGATGGTGTCCTTCCATTTTGGCCACCATGGAAGGGATTAAAGTTAAGCGTGACCGGATGAGCGGGATGGTTCACTTCATTCAACGATTCACTGGAATATGATCTCTTGAAGTCTATGCCTACGTTAGCATCTAACACTGCAGTTGCCGACGACATCGGATTAGAATTTTTTCCTATTTGACCTTCAGATGATGACCCTTCAGAGAAAAAGTCTAAGTCGAAGTCAATTAATTTCTGTGGTGCTAATTCAATGAAGGTATGCACACAGTTTTCAGTTGAAGATTTTGGTTGATTTGTAAAGCTTCTTTTTTCAGAGCACTTGAAACACACGTGAATTTTGCACTTGTAACAAAGAAGGTCCGCTGTGTCAGAACACCTGAAAGAGCAGGATTTCTAAAGAGAATTTAAAGAGACGTGAATGCAAATGAGACCAACATTTAAGATCAAACAACTTCCTGTAGATTTCAACAGGCTTTTTATTTTTTAAAATTTAGTTTTCCAATGTTATTGATAACTCAAAACCGAACACAGATAATAAGTATTTAAAAAGTTGATTCCATGGTATATTTTTTTATGTAACGCACCTTTCACTCCTGCATGACGCGATGTTCTGTGGATTCATTTTAGAGCAACCATCTCAGTTGCCATCAAGTATCACTCGGATACCAATTTACCTGAAAATATTACTCATAACTCGCAAACACAATTGAATAATATTTCAACTGCTTCAACTGAGCATAATTCGCGATATACAGTCACGGAAAACAGTTGCAAATTTTTGATTTCAACGAGCAAATTAGCAATTTTTTTAACGTTTTTATTGTTTTCTCTGCAACTATTTAAAATATAGCGTTCAAATTTTGACAAATTCCAAATGAAACAAATTGGAAGGCCTTAGACGGGCCAAAATTCGAGAAAATGTTTCGCAGGCATACACTAGCCAGTATATCATAACTAAATGTAGAAGTGCTCTTGCTGTTCAATAACCTTGCAACAATCTAAGAAATTTGTGGGCTCAAATTAGTTCTTTGAGAAGCTGATGAGCTTGAATTACTCATTATGTCGTCAAAAACTGACAAATAACAGAATTGAAAGAGTTACATGGATCGGCGTCAAAAAACGGTAATATCTGTTTTGACAACAAATACATTAAAAGTTCTTGAGAGCTTATAGCGAAAGATGGACAAAATTTGCATACAACATAAACTGCTAAAAAGAATTCTGTACATGGATTGGAGCATTAACTTTCGAAAAAAATGCTGGAACCGTTCTTTTGTTGACTTATTTCGATCGTCAGCGCGAAAACATTCATAAACTTAAGCCGTTTTTCGATGCCGGACTAAGTAACTCGTTCAATTTCTGTATGTAGTTTTTTCTTTGAATAAACAATAACTCAAGCTCATCAGCTCTAAGAACTAATGGAGCCCATAAATTCAAATTCCTTATACTGCTTGCGAGGATTTTTTCACAGCAAGAACACTTGTAAAACTAGTTGTGATATACTGGATAAATTACGCCGTCGAATCAAAATTTCTCACAATTTGAAATTTGCTCATTTGCTCGTTCAAATCAAAAAGTTCCAACTTCTATGTCCCGTTTCTGTAACCCAGATTTCTTTGAGCCAAAACGATGTTTAAAAGGAACATATTCTGTCAAGCTCTTCAAATAAACAACAGCTGATTTCAAAAATAAGCATCTCAGAAATCAAATACTTAACTGTATTTTAACCATTTTGCGGAAAAAATAACACCCTCAGACAATTTGATTTTATCGATTTAAATCAATTAAACTGCGACGAGAAACATGGTAACTTAGTTAAAGCCGGATTTCGAAACTATCTGTCAACTGGAGATTTAAACACAACAAGACTGCTGGTATCAGGTTGAAGCCCTGAATGTTCCGACAACCCTTAAAACCTATGGAGCCATGTTCATGGAAAAGAATGGAAGTTGAGTATTTCAAAATCATTGAAATTTTGGAAAACCATTTCCCAAACGCTATGTTAAGAACAAAAAGTAGAATTTGCATAAGGCAAAGTACTCAAACATAGCCAATCGCAGATTGGAAAAGAGTAAGGAACGCAAGTAACCATAAAAAAAACACTGACTTTCTTGAAAAAACTTTCGAATTTCAAAAAAATAGATGCCTATTAAGCTCTTTGAATTTCTAGAAAAAATTGAAGATTGGCGCTTTTTTGATAACATGAACCCAGCTAGAGAAAACTGAATCAATAGGTAAAGTTTTTATTCCGATGGAAATCTAAAAATTAAATTCCGCTTTTGAAACTAGAAATCATTCACGTTTTTTCGCGCCATTTCCACGTTCGTTTTTGATGAGTGCAATTTCCGTCACTTTCAGCAGATGAATTTCAATTGTTAGTTAAATCTCAAAAAGTTAAATACGAACGTCGAAATGGCGCAAAAAAACGTGAACGATTTCTAGTTTCGGAAGTGGATTTGATTTTTTATACCTTAGTGCATTCATAAATGCATCAATATGCATGAATGCACATGTAGTTATCAGAGACTCTCAAGACTTCCTGAAAAAAAAATCAACAAGACCTATTTAAGAGTCTTCACTACGTTCATTTCTCTTAAAAATTCAGCTACTTCTTGAATTCGATCTTCAGGAAAGTTGCATACAAACGTAAGTATTCAGAAGAAGAGCACAAAAAAACTACTACTCAAAACTCTGATCCTTCTGAAGCAGTTGAAACACAAGGTCAAAAGTACACTTATACAATGTACAGTTGCTTATGTACAGTAGACTTCTGAATGGAAAATACAATGTAAAATTCACAGATGAAATACAAATTGTTGGTAGAGACAGAAGAAGAAGATTAGTCCTCCCAGAGATAAGAAATGAAGTGCAGAGACTGAAATTCTTGTACAGGACGGGGCACAGAGTCAAGGTCATCAATTTTCGATGAACAGCATTTGAAGAAAAAACTGATCGAATATATGTAGAGCTACTTCGAAAGAAACTGGAACGAACAGAACACTTGCACATGGAGTTTTTTTTCGTTTGTGAAAACTTTCGTGATAATCCTAGAACTTAGTAGCGGGGCTAATACCCCAGTGACATCCACTCCACGAAGCCAAGATAATACAGGAGGAAACTTTATTCATAAGCAAAAACCACGGAATATGCATCTGTTCAACCGCGGATTTACTTCTGCAATGATTAATATTCGGTCACCGAATCCGCAAAATCTGGCAAAAACGTTTCAGGGATTCCGAAACTTTTGGCTTCTATGTAGTAATACTTTGGTCAAGGAATCCTCGACCAACCCGATATTCAAAGTATTTAGATAATGTTAGGGATCCAAGGCTCCAAATTCACAGGTTCAAAACCACCGAATCTCATTTGAGACACCTAAGCATCGGATTGCACTATTGCCATTACTTATGCAAAAAAAACAGACATATATACATTTACTACATTACAGAAATTTAAAAATTTACAATCAATACAGACATCAAAAATTACTTTTATCAGTATCCTTTTGTGCGAAGATACGCTGCTAATTTCTCGGTTGCTTCTACGCATACTGCAGGGTACATTGGAGGAATATATAGTGATATTAAAATGTACAGCCTCGTTTTGACCAAAATAAGACCGGCTTTGCTCGCAGAATGTTTGCAATAAATTGAATCACTGTCTGCTCTGACCACTGAGAATATTGTTTCTAAGATAAAAGTTTATATTTCAAACATGACTACAATTTTCAACGCTTTAAAATTGTTCCACCGAAAATGAGAACTTTGTCAAGGTAACAATTTTCCCCGGTTTTCCAGAAACTATCAAAGCTAACATCCGTTCAAAAAAAATAAAAAAACAATTACAATTTTTGTTCCGACAAAATAGCGAGAAGCAAAATTGGGTTCTTTCCCATGATAGATCTCCCTTCGAATTATAGGAGCTAGTGTAATAATGGGAATTAACCAGGCGAGCGGATCTAGGAACTTTTCGAGGGGGGGGGGGCGGACTTTAAAACAATTTTTGAAAATTTTGTCGAACTTTTTTTTAGTTCGACCAAATTGATTTTCTGAGCTCTCCCAGACCAATATAAAGACCCTATTTTGACCCAATTTTCTGCGCCTATTTTGACTTAAATTTTTGAAAAAAGGCCAAAAAAGCATTTTTAGGCACTTTTTGGGAAATTTTCGACCAAAAAATCGCATTTTTTCGGCTCGCTCTCCCCCTCAAAATTAGTATAGATTGGCGCCAAATGCGCCTTTCGAAAAATTTTAAGGTCAGTGAGTCATAAATGGGTATCTCAAAATAGTACATAGGGGGACGCTTTGAGTCCGCAGGGGGTCGAATTCCTGAGGGATGGGCGTCCGCGCCCCCCCCCCTAAATCCGCTTCTGGAAATTACACAAAAATCATACTGTTGTCGGCCACGTTTTTGGAACTAGGCAGGGAAAGGAGCCCAAACTTGTATACAGATATTTTTCACATAAAATCAGGTAACAAAAAATATATTTTTCCTGTCGTAATTGAAGATGCAAAATTATCCAAAAAAAATTGTTTAGTCATTTTTTAATTTTTTACTCAACCCGTCAGAGGCTCAGCCCAGAGGTTAATTATTTAAAGTCGAAATAGATAGCATGTTTGTTGCTATTTGTTCACCATAGTTTCATTGCATTATGACAACGTTAAAGTAGTTTTCAAAATTAAAATTAAGGAAAGTGGAAAAGAGCCGTCCACACTTAATGATGACTGATGAGCCCTTTAAGCTACCGCTATCATGCAAGTGCCCATCTTGCAAATTGCAGCGCGCGCAATTTGAACCAGCAAATATGCTTGCTAGGCACCACCACCACCACTGATTTTATTGATGTTAGAATAAAACTATTCATGCTAGTAATTAACATGATAGCATGATTGAACCTATGTTCGAAAAAAATCTAACCCTGAATTTCAAATCCATCTTCTCTAACTTGAGGAGGATTTTTAAACGCGTCAACACAATTCATGCAGTGTTCAGAATTCAGGACGAAATTTTGAGTGGAGTATTTACACCCTGAGTCTTTCAATGATATCACGGCCACTCCTTCGACATGTCTCGTTGACAACAAAGCATCTTGAAAAAGTTGATGAAAGTCAAGCATTTTAATCTGGAAAGAATGGATTGATCTCTGCATTATTAAATTAATCTAAACCAATTCAGTCCACAGATTGACGAAATTAACCTTAATTTCAGGTTTTCTCAAAGGCTTTTTTCAAGGAAAATTTCGGACAAAAACAACTTTGACAACGACCGAGAGAAAACGACCACAGTAAATTTGGTTGTTGAATAGAATTTACAGTTACTGAAGAAATTTTTGCTAAAAAGCAAATTTCAAACGTTTTCGCAACTATGTGCATCGTCAGGATTTTTACAATAAACTAATCTAAATGACGATAAAACATCAATTTACAAATGTTATTTACAATAAATCACATACAATTTGGTTCTAAACCATCATGATAAAAAATTAGCCAATCACAGTTGACCTCTAAATTAATACTAAGATTAAAATACTTTTAACCTCTAAAATTAAATAAACTTTTTAAATTAATTTGTCTGGAAGTTTCTGAGTCATAATTTCGATTTAGACATGTACTTTTAAATAAAAAACTAAAAATATTTTGGGACTAAATTTTCAGTGTTAACTCCCTGCTCCTAA